ATGAACAATTATATAGAAATGACAGGGTACTTTTCCGGGAGTGATTTTCCAGGGGGTTATTGTCCTGATACGATATGGGCGCATTAAACAATAGTGCGTTAAAGCCCCACTGCACTACTTAAAGCTACTTGTGCCCTCTATACAGTAAACAATGCCTAATCGATGCCTGTTGGTCCCCCATGATCCCCTTTTTCTTATGTTAGTTGAGAGCTGATTTGATGAGATAACCACCTGTCAGTGACCTTGCAGGGAATTCTAATCCCCCTGGCCAAACAAGTGCTGACGTGCTTAAATGGATGTCACGAACAATAGACGTATCAATGCTTGCCCTTTGTTCTTCGACCCCTTCCCCACCCACTCCCCCCCCCTCTCTCTCTATATTAGCCCATTCCTTCCGACATCACAAACGAGGATAAAATTCGAAGACTCGACCCGTTCGCTGATTTGAAGTGCGAGCGATCAGCGGGCCGCATAATGCGTGTGCGTTCAGCCTGGTCAGGGCCTTCGACGAGCAGGAACCTAGCGCATGCGCAAATCATTTGGCAATCTGAAAATTAAGTTACTTAGGAGGAACAATGAACCTGGCCGGGGGTAGGTCGTTGTCTTGGTTATAAACTACGACAATGGAAGAGCGGAAGTGAGGTAAGGGTATAGATTGATTCACAATGAACTGACATTGATGATACTTGTATACTACATGCAGGCGTGTACGCAGGGGGGGGGGGGGGGGGTTAAACCTCCCCTTTGGTAATTTGTACGTGTGTATTTTGGAGGAAACCCCCCCCCTCCCTTTGGTATTTTTTTTTTTTTTACGAAAAAAAAAAAAAATAATAATTATACCAATGGCCAATTTTGCCCCCCCCCAACGGAGCAAAATGTCAAATTTTCAAATTTCGAGACCAAAAAAGGTGTCCTCTTACCCCCCACCCCCCCCCCGCTTATTCAGCGGCTGGCTGAGTCGTTGCTATTTTTTGGGGACCCCCCAAAAAAAGAAGTGTCCTCTTACCCCCCCCCCCCCCGCTTATTCAGCGGTTGGCTGAGTCGTTGCGAAATTTTCGGCCCGATTTAAAAATGTTAAATCCCCCCCCCCCCCTTGAAAAAATCCTGCGTACGCGCCTGACTACATGTAAATCGGATTCAGATAACCCTGTTTTTTCGAGGGGTGGGGAGGGGGGGGGGTCTTGTTGTTTTGCAGTTTTCGTTACTGTTTTTAAAGAATTTTAATGGAATTACGTTCCGACGTACTCCTAAATCTAAATTGTTATTAAACATATAACGCAGAACCAGATTTTACCCTATCTGAATAATCATTCAAAGATATAACAATCATGCAAGATAAAGGAAAGAACAAGAAGATGTGATGAAGCAAAATGTCACAGATGATTATGAGCAATTATTGTTTCTCTTTATTTTCCTCTCTCTGTATCTCTCTCTGTATCTCTCTCTCTCTCTTTCTTTCTCGCTCGCTTTCATTCCGAAAGTATTCATTTTGATCCTGAGATAAAGTTGATATTATACCATAACCTCCAACTTGTTATATCTCCCGCCCCCTCTCTGTCTGTCTGTATGTCTGTCTTTCTCTCTCTGTATTTTGTCAATGTCGTTTTCCATCTTTATCTTTCATGTTGTTTTCTAATGCGCCATTTGCTTGTTTGCCGGTGTGACGGCAGATCTTGTTACCTTGGCGGATCGTGTTCTCGGAACAAAATCTGCCTAGCAGATATCGTGATCAGCAGCGGATATCGTACCCGCTACAACCAAATCTGCCGTTAGTGAACACGGCGGATAATGTGCATTGGCGGATTTTGTTCCTATATAGCTACAGGCAGTGGCGAACCTGGCATACCGCGTCAGGGGGGGGGGGGGGGGGGTTTGGGGGGGAGGGTGTTTTTTTTTTTTGGGGGGGGGGGAGGGTTTTCCCCATCCCACGGTATTTTGATGTTTGTGATCGCGCGATTTCATGCATACCCGTACCTTACTTATGTTTTGTTGATTTGAAAAGTCTTCATAATTCGAAAAAGATTGTTTTATTGGGAGGGGGGGGGGGGGGGGTTAGGGTTAGGGGTGTGACACCCAAATTTGCTGCCAACTTTTAAGGGTGCGACGTCATCCAAATTTGCCGATTAACAAATGCATAGCATCTACCACCCTCCTTCCCTATCCTAAATGTTAATTATTCCATGGTTTAATTAGGCTCTTATCAAATTAAAAAACCTTTTGAAGTAATCATTACCCCCTATAATATTGAAACATGCAACTAATTTGTTTCTACATGGTGATCGACCTGAAAACAAATACAAAAAAGTAATTAGCCCCCTTTTTGTATTTGAATCCACATATCAGTGATAAAAAAATAATCATGCGAGCGCGAGGCATTACGAACTGATTTTTCCCTCAACAGTGACAGGAACTGGGCTTATGAAGCCCTTCAAAATTTCTGTCGGCAAATGCGTCACTCTTTTACGGAGCCCGGGAAGGGACATGGTAAAAATATTTTTATCTCGTTAAAACGAGATAGTTATCTCGTTTTAATGAGATAGTATCTCGTTAAAACGACATAGTATCTCGTTTTAATGAGATAGTATCTCGTTAAAACGACATAGTATCTCGTTAAAACGAGATAGTTATCTCGTTTTAATGAGATAGTATCTCGTTAAAACGACATAGTATCTCGTTTTAATGAGATAGTTATCTCGTTTTAATGAGATAGTATCTCGTATAAGTCCATTGCATACTGGAACCGGGTGGTCCCTGTATTAACCCAGATAACAATACGACGTTACGCCAACGTGGGGCCAACGTAAGCTGTTACGTTGGTCCAACGTCGCCAACATGATGTTGGGCCCACGGCTTTCTTGCCGGCGGGCCAACGTTGGCCCGACAGTGACAAAATGACATTAAGCCAACATCGGGCCAACGTTGTGCCGACCCCTATCCGACCATATGTGCCGACGTCTTTCCGACATTGGACCAACGTCGTCCCAACCCTTTTTTAACCATGTGCCGACGTACGACCAACGTTATGCCAATCCCTATCCCACCATGTGCCGACGTTGTTCCGACATTGGATAAACGTTATGCCAAACCTTATCCCACCATGTGCCGACGTCTCCTCGACATTGGCCCAACGTTATACCAACCCCTTTTCAACCATGTGCCGACGTCTCCACGACGTAGGACCAACGTTATTCCAACCCCTATCCCACCATGTGCCGACGTAGTTCCGACATTGGACCAACGTTATGCCAACCCCTATCCCACCACGTGCCGACGTCGTGGGCTGTTACGTTGCGCCATCGTCGCCAATGTGATGTTGGGCCAACGGCTTTCTTGCCGGCGGGCCAACGTTGGCTCGACAACGACGAAATGACATTAAGCCAACATCGGGCCAACGTCCCCCGACGTATGACCAACGTCATGTCAACCCCTATCCCACCATATGCCGACATAGGACAAACGTAATGCCAACCCCTTTTCCACCATGTGCCGACGTCTCCCTGACGTAGGACCAACGTAATGCCAACCCCTTTTACACTATGTGCCGACGTCTCCCCGACGTTGTCCTAACATAATGCCAACCCTTTTCCCACCAAGTGCCGACCCCTCCTCCACCATGTGCCAATGCTAGACCAACGTTATGCCAACCTCTTCTCCACCATTTGCCGACGTAGAAGCAACGTTATGCCAACCCGTATCCCACCATGTGCCGACGTTGTACCTCCCTTTCCAGTTCATGCCAACATCCTTCTGACATTACCAACACCAACTCAAAAACATATTCACACCAACATCAGTCGTCCGTTCATAAGAACATCGTCAAGATCATACTACATCGGACATGTACAATCATTCAAATACATGCATCACAACGTGACAAGAAAAAGCCAAGTAGTTAAAGATTGGATTAAATAAATAAACAGAGCAAAATCCACAAAATGAAGATAGTAACAATTTCATCAAAATTAGACTGAATTTGAGAAAAGTTCATTATAGAACTCGACTTAGATCCCTCTGGAAGATATGTATAATAACAATATTGAAGCAAGAGGGACATGTTATTTTAATTTCGTCATGTCTATTATCTTGTACATTTTAATCACTATCAAAACTTGATAACAACTTATTTGTCCCATTTTAATGAAAAGTTCACCATCTTGCTTCTTAGAATTTGCTCTGAATACATCCCCCCTCCCTCCAAAACAAAAGAACAAGGAAAATAAACTGATTTTGTGATAAAACATACTTTATTTTATGTGTAATAAACAAACTGTTGTAAATGTGAATACAATTATTGTACATCTTTCTTTTGTATTTTCGTGAATTCGAAAAAGATGTAAACGTAGTTTCAAGTTCAAGGTATCTCAATGTGTCACAATATAGGCCTACTATCAATGAATGCTAGGACGATAGGAGCTGTTATAAAAATGAATTGTCGCTTACACGTAACACAACATAACATACTGAAATTCATTGTACGAATATAATAAACAATCCTCACAATTTCCCGAGTAAAACAAAAAAAAACTTTCTGGCAGACGAACACGATTGCTTATGACAAGATTCCTCTACATATGTACAGCACAAAAATATAAAGAAATTAATAAAGTGTCCACCATTTGCATGCCAAGAACTAGGCAATTAATGTAAACAATGTTCCATAAAAAATAAAAAAAATAAAATTCAGAGAAATTGCCAACATTTTTTATGCTTAGGCATTTCAGAGATGCTGATACATTTCGTCGCCATATCTATTGTTAACACATCTACAAACTTTTTTTTTAGGAGGGATAGTATACATTGCTTGAATGTGTGAAGTAAAGCAATCGCTAAATGTTTATATAACAAGAGACGAAATTTGAAAGTGAAGTAAGAAAGAGCAGAGCTTGTAAAGGGAAAAACACAAGTTTCTTCACTCTGATATACCACTTTCAACATTTCTTTAAATTGAGAAGAAGGTAGTACGAAAAACATTCAGTCACTTAGATATATGAAACATTTTGTTCTTACCTTTGAAATTCTTTATAGCATGCATTTAGTTGACACGTTATACAGGCATTCAAATCAATTACGATCTTCTTCGACTCATGGTATAGCTCTCTTTTTAAAATTGGGCCATTAGTGAAATTTCACCACAATAAATAACAAGTAAAGATGCATAGCACACTATTTAATAACAAAAGTAATTGTTTATGTTTGTGTACAAAACATAATGCCTGCAGAGCTGGCTAGCAAGCACCGTAGCTTGCCTAAGCGGAGATCGTTCTTGATATAACATCACTAATCCTTTGGTCAATCATTCCGAGGAACTCTGAGAATTTTAAGGGCGGGGTCCACCATTAGACGAGCAACTTGGAGAGGTTTTCAAAAAATTGTAAAAAATATAAGGAGGCATTTATTTATGAAACAATTGTTATTATGTTGCTTTAAAAGGGTCTTGATACAAGACATAAAAGTTTTAATTTCCTAAGGCAATGGACCTTTAAAGAACGGGTTAGTCGGAATCAAAATCTTGTCTAGCTTGTGGTGGTACAACTTCGACATCTGTGGCAAAAAAAAAGAAGAAAGAAACCAAACAAGATTTAAAAGCAGATCATGGAAACATCACCTTGAAATAGTATGGATATTCATCAAATAGTACGGCATTCAAGGGAAGTAGTCTTGAGTGGCACATCCTCCCTAGTTTTGATGAAATTTCATGAAAATAACTTCGTTCAAACTTTAGAGCGAATGACCCAGATGTATGGAAATTAGAAAGGAATGGATTTCTTTTATTTTTGTCTTGTTTAATTAGAATAGCATCAAACACTCTTCTTAACAAAGGAAATATTCATTTGAGGTAAAATGGCAGTAATATTCTTCAATAGAAAGAACCAATTTATAGTATCTGTTTGCTCAGTGTTGAGATGCTTGATTGATAACAGTTTAACGCCCCTCTTAAGTGTTGGATCCCAAAATTAGCCAAAGAATAGAAATATATATGACTGGAAAGCCAATACAAAACTAGACAACTTTGCTGGACACAATTTTTCTTCATAACGATTGCAGAAAAAGTTACAGCCCTTTGAATTAGGAGTGTCTGGCAGAATGCGGCAAAATTGTCACTCCCTAAAATAATGGGGCACACAGGGGTTTCATGGTTGGTCGCACAAAGAGTTACAAATGTGGAAGATGTAAACATGGCCATGAGGACGGAAAAAGCTGCAGAGGATCCAAGAAAAATCATTCAGGAGTGCATGGAGGCATGGCAGAGAAAGATGGGACATTGTGTAAGACTCCAGTGGGATTGCTTCGAAAGGGAAAACTCAAAGTCTGTAATTTGGGTATATATTTCTTTTTTGATATCAGTCCTGGAACTTTTCTGACACACCTCGTATATCTGTTCCACTTACTTGGCATCTGTGGATAGCATCCTTGAAGAAAATGCCTAAGAGCAGGTTGGTGAGTTGAAGGTTAATTCTTCTCAAATGCTGCCTCAATGTTGCCAAGGAAAATGCTGAAAATGAAAAAAGGAGGGAACAGTGACGACTAATGATGCATTTTTTTTGGGGGGGGGGGGGGCTTAGGTAGTGACTAACAATTACCTACATTTCTTGAAATATAATAAAATGTTTAGTCTTTCTGTTTTTTGAAGAGGTACATGTATGAACTTACTATAATATGCAACTTGTGAATAATTTACCTGTTGCTGATTCTCACTTGCAGAGAGTTTGAATTAAGTTACATTGAGCTCCTATCCTCATGGATGATTCCTATAGTCATACATATATCGGTTACAATCTGAAAATGCATTTTTTTTTAAAAATACATGAAACATTTCATTATTTACTTCAATCGCATTATGGTTAATGTCACCACTCCAAGCACTGCCATTTATTTCATCATTGGCATTGAATTGCCAGTGACAGCTTACCATTTCCATAGTCTAGTGCCATAGACTTTGTACATGGTGAAGGTATACACATGGAATGAGAGGTGAATCGAACCACACTTTAGCCCCTTTCTTTTATCTTTAGAACAATCTTAAGACATTTATTGAGTTACATGCATGATTAAAAATTGTACATCCATGGGTAGAATTTTGAATGATTCCTGCCAAGTTTGGTTACATGTGATCATGCATTTTGACCAAAAAAATTGATAAATCTGTTCCCTTTTCCATTTAGCCCCCACCCCTGATCCTAATGAACCCACCCCTGATGAAGGTGACAATAGCTAATCTTGAGCCTTCTGTTCATTGAGCTTCAAATCAATCCCAGAAAGTCATACCTGAATGAGATTAGCTGGGTGGTCAATGCTGTGCTGGAGGCTAGGGTGTGTATGCATGGGTCACAGCTGCAGAAAACACCCTACAAAAATTGTGCCTAAAAAGAGAATTTAAGAAAAAATCAGTAAGTGACCTGTGCAATTAATACCCATATCAGGGCTGCACAAGAATTAGGTCATAAGTTTCAAGAATAAGGTTATGTGCCAACTAATGCCCAGAAAATTGGATTGTTTAGGTCTATCCTAAAGGTACGCTACAGCTCTAAGAGTCTATCAGTTCAGTACGTACCATCTACAGGTCCTTTGGATTCAAAATTACTGAGTCTGTACTCTAATAAGTAATCAATAGTCTGTCCATCATCAAAGGTGTTCAAGTCTAAGATTGAGAAGAGCCACCTACGATTCAACTATCTATTCTTTGCGCCCTCTCTCATCTGCTGCAATCATATACCAACTGGTCCAGCATCGTATACATCCAGATCCAGAAATCGTTACAAGTGTTTTCAAAACTTTTTCCTAGAACTTACATTTCATTACCCCTCATCTTGCTGCCTATTCTTCTATCTAATTTAATTTCTTATTTCAATTCAGTTTCTTTTTTTAACACTTACACTGAATAGGATTATAAGAGGAATTATCTTACTTGGAAACTCTGGATAGAACCCTTGTCCTTGTCCTTCAATTGGTGAGCTGAGCCTGAGGGATATTTCTTCTCAAATGCTGCCTCAGTGTTGCCGAAGAACACGCTGAAGACAGAAAACAAAGAAGCAGTGATGATTAGTGAGGCAATTTTTTTGTTACCAAAATCATTAGCTACTCTTTTTTGGAAGATGGGAGATGAGTATGTGGTCCATGCATGGATGGACCATATACATACATGTATGATATAGGGTCTAGAGTCTACTCCCAACTAACTTATATAGATGTAGATCCTACACATGTATTAACACTTATGTATGACATTAGTTTAAGTTTGTCGATGTTTTAGCCAGGCATTAAGTTACTGAAGAAATACAATAAATACAAAATTAAAATATTGAAAACACAATCAATAATAATAATAATCCGCTTTTTTATAGTGCTTAAGAGTAAGACATTAATAATGTATCTAAGCAGTTTACAGATTATTATTACCCCGTCCCCGGTCATCGGATTCAATCAGGATTGCCCGCACACAATGTATGCACATTCTCCACTCCCTGGGGGAGTATTCCAGCCATGCATGCAGTCTAGGTCTAGTCCTTATTTATAATATTTCAAAACTTATTGATTTTCTACACTCGTAGTTACTAGTACAATAAACCACCCCTGCAGGCATGGGGCTCACTACGTTAGCCCCATGGTGTATACCTATCTTAAACGCACAGGCAACAGTGTTTTCCCCCCCCAAAGAACTGGTTAAATAAACTTTTCATGCACACTGGTTTTTGTTTATTAATCTTACTTTGCATTTGTCAAGTAACTATTTCAGCAACATTTAAACATTAAAATATTGTAAATTTACTGAGAAAAAAAAAATAAAAAAATAATTTTATCAAATAGCTCAACATCATGACATGTTAGCAATGAAAGTTAATATGAAGACAGTAAATTTATTAAATAAATAAATCCTCTATTTTTAGTGCTTCAACATACTCAACAGTGTTGCACTGATGTTTTTTTATTAGCCTCTAGATACGTAAATGTAAACATTTTGACAAAATCCCAGTTACTGTTAATGTTATTACATGGCTAGAAGTGTAAGGACTAAGGGTGACAATAAACCTAGACTCTACTAGTAAACTGGTACCTAGCAAATAATTTGAACAACATAGTCATAGAATCTATACTGTGGCGGAATCAAGGGGGGGGGGGGGAATCGGCCATGGCCCTCCCCTTCTCCTTTTTGTTTGCTTGTCAAGGAATATTTTGGGTAGATCTAGACTAGACTCTAGATCTAAACAGACACTTGAAAAAGCTAAGGATCATTTTTTCCACTTTTTTCGCTGGTCAGCGAATTTTTCTGGTGCCTGATGAGGCCCTGAGGCTGAGCAGACTTCGGCCTAGACAGGAATAACCATCTTTCTGGGGGCATTCTTTTGACAAAATGACAGAGCTCAGAGGCATTTAGAGAAGCCAGATATGCAATCTCAGCGGATCCAACCGTCAACGCCAAATAGAGGCTGATATTTCGGTCCAACTTCGGCCCTCCCTTTTGAAAAATCCTGGATCCGCCGCGTCGCTGAAATAGATCTAGATCTATACTAAGACTAAGTTGCGGTGTATTGCACATTGCATAGTTGAATCTAGATCTAGACTCTACACACTAGACATCAATAGCCGTGGAATATGAGGTTTTTTTTTTTTTTACAATTCTGACATTTGCTTGCTTTTTCCTCGTATAGAGTCTAGATCTAGACTAGATCTAGATCTAGTCTAGATCTATACATACGAAAATTCCACACTTCTACTGCAATGCGAGCACGTAAAAAAGTAACGTCTAGATCTAGTTTACTTTGTCTCTAGCTTGCAAAATGACCACAGCCTTCCCAGCAGGCCAAGCCCAAGGCCAGGGTCCCAGACCCAGACCGCGGAGAGCCTGAAGCGTCGGGCCCCAGAACAGGGCGCTTCCGATGGGGACTGCAGTCTGCTAATTGAGCAGTCTTAATTCGTTACACAGATCTAGAACTGATCGCGAAAAAGAGCAAATCTGTTAAATTAGCTGTTTGTTCACTTTTACATTGAATGACCCGGCCATAAATAAGTAAAAGAAGTGAACTAACCTTCAATCCTCGCGATTGCAACCGGCAACTTCTGGTTGAATTCAGTCGATCTACCGTAGACGTAACTTAGTAGTACCATAGGTGGTAGGTCTATGGTAGTCATGGTAGTACATACGTACATACAAGGCCTGGCATGGCATGGCCGCGCCTGGCTATATACGCTATTACTGCATTAAGCAGCGAGCGCGCTAGTGCCAGCGCGCGCAGTCTAGTCTAGCCTCGCGGGTATTATGTTGTTAACCCGTGGACTACTGAATTCTCTCACTCCCATAGGCTTAATACAGGGACCACCCGGTTCCAGTATGCAATGGACTTATACGAGATACTATCTCATTAAAACGAGATAACTATCTCATTAAAACGAGATACTATGTCGTTTTAACGAGATACTATCTCATTAAAACGAGATAACTATCTCGTTTTAACGAGATACTATGTCGTTTTAACGAGATACTATGTCGTTTTAACGAGATACTATCTCATTAAAACGAGATACTATGTCGTTTTAACGAGATACTATCTCATTAAAACGAGATAACTATCTCGTTTTAACGAGATACTATGTCGTTTTAACGAGATACTATGTCGTTTTAACGAGATACTATCTCATTAAAACGAGATACTATGTCGTTTTAACGAGATACTATCTCATTAAAACGAGATAACTATCTCGTTTTAACGAGATAAAAATATTTTTACCATGTCCCTTCCCGGGCTCCGTACTCTTTTCCTCTTTCCTTCCCTACTTCTTTCATTTTTTGTTTCTCTCTCTCTCTCTCTCTCTCTCTCTTTTTTCTTTCTCTTTTTCTTTCCTTTCTTTCCCTTTTTTCTTCTTTTCTTTCTTTTTCTTTTTCTTTCCTTTCGTTTCCCTTTTCTCTTTTCTTCTTTTCTTTCTTTTTCTTTTTCCTTCCTTTCTTTTCCCTTTTCTCTTTTCTTCTTTTCTTTCTCTTTCTTTTTCGTCGGGGGGGGGGGGGGCAATCCGGCCCCTTCCCCCATAGGTACGCTAGTGGCTACAGGACATGGTCTGATAATTCTATCGTGAATAACATGGCGGATTGCTAGACTTAAATTGTCTGATTTGTTCGTATTGGACATCGAATCTGTAGGCTATTCCGAAAAGCATCCCCCCTTTATTGCATTGACGCCCACAGGCGACAAAGCCTTGTTGTCTCTCTTTCTTCTTGTCCATTCTTCTTGTCCATCGTTCTAATTTTATGTTAAAACCAGCATAATTGACATTTTGGCATTTTTGTTTTATTTATGCCCGAGTGGGTCTAATGGCCTCTAGAGGCCTATACATAAGACCTCCTCCCCAACTGCTGTTTTAACAGAAATAAATCATAATTTAATTACGTATTTATTTCATTTCATTAAACATTTTTCCTGTGATCCAGTCTCTGTGCTTTTTCATTTTCTTTCTTTTCATTTATAACTAAAATGAAGGCAGATATGGGAAGGGTCATGATTGGTCAGAGCAAATTAACATGTTTGTTTGGAATCTTTCAAACTTTTGTATTACTGCATTTGTTAGCCAAGAAAACCTTTTAGAATAAAACAACCTGACTCCCATAGTAGCGTTTTAAACATTGGTAAGCCCCCCCCCCAAAAAAAAAAAAACAAAAAAACAAACAGATTCCTTTGATTTTATATGATAAATTGCAAGAAATAGAAATTATCAACGGCTTCGATCATTTCTTTAAAAATAGATTTATAAGCTAATAAAACAATATAGACCTAATAAACTTAAATTTGTTTTACCCCTATTTTCAAACTATTCTCGAATCCTTACAGAGTATAATTCAGGTTATTTTGCCACCTTTAGAAGTTGTCCGCATCCAATAGACGAAAAGGATTATATTGTATTTCTTTATCAATTTAAAATTTGCCATTACTGTGCATCCCTTACAGATTTATAACATTTTTTTTTATCCGGTTGTACTGATTACGAAACTTGAATTGTGGGGCCGGGGGGGGGGGGGGGTGATCGAGGCTCTTTGCATCATCCCATATCCTCCCTTCATTTTTTTTTTTTTGGGGGGGGGGTGAACTTTAAGGTCACTCTACATGATAGAAAAAACAGATTTTAAATATCATAAACTATTTTCTTAATTGTAATGGGTTTCATCAGTATAGTTATTGTTCAATACTGTAAAGACAGTGTAGGACACGGGCGAGCTGATGTGGATAGCGAATTTTTGGAATCATTGGAATTTTTATTTCAAAATAATTATAGCGCAAATTCCCTCACAGTCATCGTCCTTTCATTAAAACTAACGGTGTAGCGTTTTGGGAAAATAAACCTTGAATTTCTGGTACACCTGCCCTCGCTTTCTATCAGCACAAATAGTGAAGATATAGCAATTCTGATACAGAAAGAGAAAAAGATTTGCGAGCGAGCGAGCAAGCCAAAATAATGAAGTTTTTTTCACAGAAATGTTTTTTCTTCTTTTTCATCCAGCATAATTCTATTGTCAAGGAGGGGTGTACAAATTGGCGATTATGGAGGAGGATTATTGTTTACTTTCCTTCATAAGACACAAAGTGTAATATACATGTTGGTCGCCTTTCTATCACAATGGATTACCATCTTTATCAGAAAGGAACTTGGATTATGATAATAATCGAGAACATACTTTGTGAGCAAGCGAGTGATCTGGAATTTTTTTTAAAACTTCGTCATAGAACGCTTGTTTTTATATCCAGAGATATTTTTTATTCATATATAGATTGACTTTTTGAAATAGTGATAAAAAATATCATCATTGTCTGGAATATACTGTTACAATGAAGATCCTGGTGATAAATACAATGAAAATAAATAGTGCTTGAATGAAATAAGTATAACTAGAGATGATATATTCCTTTCCCTTAACTAAGATATTACCTTTAAATAAACTGATTTGAAGTACGGTGTTAAACCTAGTGTTGGTGCTTAATTTCCCGTACAACACCTCTTAACTAAAACTTGAAGTCACACATATTTCTTTCACTACACAAGTCCACAACAAACGGGTGCAAACACACTTAAACACATGCCTGTTGTGGAAGGTTATTAATACTACTCGATCAATGGTCGAAGGGGTCCTCCAAGCAATTTTACACAACAATGGAGAAATAGGTTGCTTTAAGATAGGCACTTTGTTTGGCCCTCACTCCATCCATAAAAAGCAAAGTAAACACTAACAGAATCGTACGAGACTCTTTGCAATAAAATCTTTTTATTTCCCAACAATGTCTTTACAATCTTAATCTTTTGAATCTTACAAAAACTGCCTAAGCCATTAAATACAAGTTGTTCACCCCGTGGTTGGGTACTCTGCATACGCTGATAATTACATAATGGATTTTATTCAAAAAAATGGCTGAGGTGATGGAAATATATTACATTCTTTTTAAACCTTGCACTCAACAAATCCAATCCGTTCCTTTGAATTTCAAAGAGAGAGGACTTAGAGCCATAGAAATTAAATTACACATTATACAGGACATGATTAATCACTTCAACTTTCCTTGCCCTAGTATGGCAATCATTGTAAAAATGCTTAACACCTTCTTTTACTTCCCACAAAGTGACGAAAATTAAATAATTTTACGCTTAGGTGGCTTAATTCCTCTTTTAAGAGAAAACTCGTAATAAGAGCGGCCTCTTGCTCGAACTCGTACTCGCACTCAGCATCCATGGTGGTATACAGTATAGTACTACGGTACACATGCAATTGCAATCGCACGCAGCCTAGCCAGCATGCATGCATGCATGCAGCAAGCGGAGACAGTATACCACTCATAAAAACGATACCTTCAGAATGGAACGATAGCTGCAAAACGGAACACTATCTGCCAGCCACTCTGCGTGGTGGGTTACAATATCTGCCGGCAGATTTTGTGACGGAAACAATATCTGCCGGCGGATTTTGTTCCGCGAACACGATCCGCCAGTCAGGCGCGGATCCAGGATTTCTTAGGGGGGGGGGGGGGGGGGGGGGCCCACTTTTTTTTTTTTTGGTCCGAAAAAAAATCGTAACGACTCAGCCAGCCGCTAAATAAGCGGGGGGGGGGGGGGGGGGGGGAATGAGGACACTTTTTTTTTTGGTCTCGAAATTTGAAAATTTGACATTTTGTTCCGTTGGGGGGGGGGGGGGGGTGAGGTCACCTTTTTTAGGTCAGCAATTGGCTTTTTTTTTTTTTTTTTTTAAATCACAGAAAGGGGGGGGGGGGAGGGTTGCTCCAAAATACACACATAAAAAACCGAAGGGGGTAGGGTCAACCCCCTAACCCCCTCCCCCCCTTCCGTACGTGCCTACTCGTCTGAAAATAGTTTTTCCCCTCCCGCGCAAAGCGCGGAAGCTTTTACGTTTCATTAAATTATTAGAAAAAGAAGACGATTCGTTGTACAGTTTTTTACTCTTAATCCTCGTCTTAATTCATCCTCGTCTTAATTCATCCCCCTCTCCCGCGCAAAGCTCGGAAGCTTGTACGTTTCATTAAATCATTAGAGAAAGAAGACGATTCGTTGTACCGTTCTCGAAAATAATCCTCGTCTGAATACAGCTTTTACGTTTCATTTAATCATTAGCGAAATAAGACGATTCGTTGTACCGTTATGACTTTTAATCCTTGTCTAAATTCAGTTTCCGCCCTCCCACGCGAAGCGCGGAATCTTTTACGTTTCATTAAATCATTAAAGAAAGAAGACGATTCGTTGTACCGTTCTCGACTCTTAATCCTTGTCTAAATTCAGTTTTCCCCTCGCTTCGACGTTTCATTAAATTTTTAGAGAATGAAGACTATTCGTTGTTCCGCTCTCGAAAATAATTTAGTTTCCCCCACCCGCGCGAAGCGCGGAAGCTTTTACTTTTCATTAAATCATTAGAGAAAGAGGAAGATTCGTCGTACCGTTCTCGACTCTTAATTCTTGTCTAAATCAATTCCCCCCCCCCCTTCCGCGGAAGCTTCGACGTTTAGTTAAATTATTATAGAAAGAAGACGATTCGTTGTACCGTTCCCGAAAATTATCCTTGTCTGAATTAAATTCCCCCTGCCCTCCCCCGCGCGTAGCGCGGAAGCTTTGACGTTTCATTAATTCATTAGAGA